TCTGCCACGTCTGAAGGATGACCAGGAGCATTGTCTAATACCAGGAGGCACTTAAGGTCTAATTTCTTTTCAATTAGGTAATTTTTCACAGTGGGGGCAAATGCATGGTGTAACCGGTCATAGAAAAAGTCCCTAGTGACCCATGCCTTACTGTTTGCCCTCCACAGGACACACAAATTAGCCTTGAGGACATTGTTTTTCCTGAACACACTGGAAGTTTCAGAGTGATACACCAATAAAGGCTTCACTTTGCAATCACCACTAGCATTGGAACACATCAACAGAGTATGCCTGTCTTTCATAGGCTTATGTCCTGGGAGTGCCTTTTCCTCCTGAGTAATGTAGGTCCTGTTTGGCATTTTCTTCCAAAACAGGCCTGTTTCGTCACAATTAAACACTTGTTCAGGTTTCAGTCCTTCACTGTCTATGTACTCCTTGAATTCTTGCACATATTTTTCAGCCGCTTTGTGGTCCGAACTGGCAGCCTCATCATGCCTTATCACACTATGTATGCCACTACGATTCTTAAATCTCTCAAACCAACCTTTGCTGGCCTTAAATTCACTCACATCATCACTAGTTGCAGGCATTTTTCTAATTAAATCGTCATGCAACTTCCTAGCCTTTTCACATATGATCGCTTGAGAGATGCTATCTGTTTTTCGTTTATCCACACCAATAACAGTCTCTCAATATCTTCTATCACTTGCGATCTCTGTTTCGAAAACAAAGTTGCATCTTTGGCAAGAACAGCTTCCTTGATTGCCATTTTCTTGGCCACAATAGTAGCGATGGTTGATTGGGGTTTTGTGTACAACCTGGCCAGCTTCGAGACATGCACTCCACTTTCATACTTAGCAATGATCTCTTTCTTCATATTCATAGTAATTCTCACTCTTTTTGCTGTAGGGTTGGCATTAGAAGCTTTCTTGGGGCCCATGGTGACTTATTTTGCAGGTGCAGTCACTAAAAAGGCTGTGATAATATGAAATGTTCCGATTGTATGCTTGGAAGCGACCGTGGTGGCTGGCTTGTAAACACTGGCACCCACGGAACAAGTGAGGCGGGCTCAGGCTGCATGTGGATGTGTCTCGAACGAATCGCATTGAGTGAGTTTTTTAGCGCTAGCCGAGGCAAAATTTTTGTGTTAAAACGTATCGCTAGACGGATTTAACGTTATGCGATGTGTTCGTTAGGCGAGGGTCTACTGTATACTGAATGTACTGTATATGTACTTGTACACTAGGCTCCTGTTACTTGAATTCACATTTTTTTCTTTAATTTTTTTTTTTAACACACTGGCTGTCTCCCATTGAGGCAGGGTGACCTGAAAAAGAAGCTTTCATCATCATTCACACTATCATTGTTTTGCCAGAGGTGTGCAGATACACGAGTTTAGCTGTCATTCAAAACAACAAATTTCCCAAACTCTTCCTTTAGAGTGCAGGCACTATACTCCCCTACCCCAGGACTCGAGTCCTGCTACTCTGAATCCCTTCACAAAATATTACCCTGCTCATACTCGAACAGCTTGTCAAATCCCAAAAACCATTCATATTCACTCCTGTCTAACACACGCTCACATATGCTTGCTATATATCCAAGCCCTTTGCACACAAAACCTTCTTTTCCCTCTCCTTCCATCTATTCCTAGGATGACCCCTGTCCTGCCTTCCCTCCACTACAGATTTATGCACCCTCAAAGTCATTGTATTTTGTTCTATTCTCTCTAAATGATGAAACCCCCTCAACAACCCCTTCTCAGCTCTGAATAATACTCTTAGTAACTCCACACCTAATTTCCACACTACGAATTCTCTGCATAATGTTTATACCACACAATGCCCTTGGACACATCTCCACTGCCTCCAGCCTCCTCACTGCAACATTTATAACCCATGCTTCATACCCAAATATAAGTGTTTGTATCACTATACTTGTACATTCCCTTCTTTGCCTTCATGGATAATGTTCTTTGTCTCCATAGATACCTCAATGCACCACCCACCTTTTTCCCTTCATGAATTCTGTGGTTTACGTCGTCATTCATATACCCATCTGCCGACACGTCCACTCCCAAATACCCAAACACATTGACTTCTTCCATACCCCCTCAGTCCCTCTAATCTAATATCCAGTTTTTTCTTGCCTAACTCCTTTGATAACACCACCACCTTACTATTGCCTATATTCCCTTTCAACTTTCTTCCTTTACACTCCCTCCCAAACTTGTCCATTAATCTTTGCAACATTTCTGCAGAATCTCCCAAAAGCACAGTAACTGTCCACTACCAAAAGTAACTGTCAACTACCATTTTGTATTTGATTATGCATTTTTTAATCCCACCCCTCTCCCCAATACCCTAACATTTACTTCTTTTGCAGTCCTATCTGTAAATATGTTAAAGAACCATGGTGACATTACGCATCCCAGTCTAAAGCCCTACTTTTACTGGAAGGTAATCTCCCTCTCTCCTACACACTCTTACCTGAGCCTCACTATCCTCATAGAAACTCTTAACAGCATTTAGTGTCTCATCACCTGTTCCATACACTTACAACATCTACCACATTGCTCCTCTATCCACCATTTCATATTCCTTTTCTAATTCCATAAAAGCAATGAAAACTTCTCTAAATTGTTTTCACTTAAAAGCTTCACTGTAAACACTTGGTCTGCACATCACCTTCCTTTCCTAAATAAACCTTGATGATTTGCAATCCTGCTCTCTATCTTACCCCAAATTTTCAGTAAAACCCTGCCATACACTACCTGGTATACTCAATAGGCTTATTCTCCTATAATTTTTACTATGTACACTGTTAGTCCCTAGGTACCTTTCCCTCTTTCGTACATTTTAAACATTAGTACCAACCACTCCAAAACTACATCCCCACCTGCTTTTAATATTTGTCATGATCCCATCAATTCCATCTGCTTTATCCCCTTTCATTCTACCCAATGTCTCATGCACCTCCCCCAGACTCACATCTGGCTTTTCACTTCTAAAAGATGTTATACCATCCTGGCCAATGCATTAAGTTACTGCCTCGCTCTCTTCATCAACATTTAACAGTTCCTCAGAATTTTCCTGCCATCTTCCCAATATCTCCAACTTCCCATCAGCTAACTCCCTCTTCTGCTTTGAACTGTTCAATCCATTTGTTCCTTAGGCTTTCTCAAGCTATTTATCCCACTCCAGAACTTTTTTCTTATTCTCAACAAAATTTGCTGACAGCACCTTACCCACTCAGTCATTTGCTCTCTTTTTGCACCCCCCTCGCCATTCTCTTCACCTCTCTGTTTCTCTACATATACTCCACCCTTCTTATATATCACTTCTGCTTTGTAAAAAAAAAAAAATCTCAAGCAAACTTTTTCTTCCTTATCACGCCCTTTGCGTCATCATTCCACCAATCGCTCCTCATTTCTTTAATTATAGAACATTAATAAAGTTTTCTAAAGATGTGTTCTATTTGTGAAATATCACTAAGACAGCTGTAGTTCCCATGGTTGTTGACAGTAGATACGGCAAGTGATAATCCAGCTAGTTACACATTTTTGTGCTTAGGAGTCATTTTGTTTGGCATGGTTGTTCTTGAAATTTTTTTTGGTATTAATAATGTAGATTTTTACGTTGATTTGATAGTTTGGAGTCATCATTTGCCTAGAAGAGTTGATTGGTCAACCTTCAGTCAGATGTTTGGCAGAGAGCACTTTGTGTCAGCAAAGCATGGTAATTTTTGTTCTTAGTTTTTACCTGTTTAGGTAGATGATTGCTGGATTAATATTTTATATTTACAAATGGTAGTTCATTTGTTATTAATTTAAAGGGAAGTCCCATACACAGAAATCTGAAAAAAAAAAAAAATGAAATCTGTGACTGTAAAGTTAATTCTTTGAGCTACAGTTAAAGGAGTTGTATGACCCTAGTAGGTGTGGTTCTTTGTTTTGATTGTAATAATAATAATACATTTAAAGGAGATATTGCTCCAAATATTGTAATAATATACACTAGTATGTAGTCTTTAGATGTACAGTAGATTCTCTGATATAAAGCACCTGTAATTAGTGCCTCATTAATATTGTGACTGGGGATGTTTTGGTAACTTATGTTCCTTGATCAGTTGTCTTTGTATTGGGCATTGTCCTGAAAGAATTGTGATAGCCAAGGAAATTTAAGAGAGTGGGGAGGGCGGGATTATTGAGAAGCCTTATGACTGTGGAACACATACTTAATTCTGTATGTGTTTCTATCAATTTTTGTATTTTTGGTGTCATTAACTTCAATTTTTTTTTAAATTGCAACACTGTTGTTTCACATGATTTTCTGGGGTTGCAACAGTGAAAGGGTTAACATCACCTGATCTGCTTCAGTATCACATGACTCCATTTTTCCTCTTCTCATTTCCTCCCTCTTATGTCCCCCCCCCCCCCTGTTTATGCTTAGCAAGTCAGTGCTTATCTGTATATACAGTGGACTCCCGGTTAACGATATTTTTTCATTCCAGAAGTATGTTCAGGTGCCAGTACTGACCGAATTTGTTCCCATAAGGAATATTGTGAAGTAGATTAGTCCATTTCAGACCCCCAAACATACACGTACAAACGCACTTACATAAATACACTTACATAATTGGTTACATTGGGAGGTGATCGTTAAGCGGGGGTCCACTGTACTTTATACACATTTACCAACTACAAATTTTTAAAACTTAATGCAATGATTCCCAGAAGCATTTGTTGTGGACCAATTATGTACCTCTGTAATCTTTTGACTACCGCCCACAGGATGGGTATGGGGTGCATAATAAACATTAAACTAACTAAATGTTATTGCAAAACTAGCATTTGGAATTTTGTTCCAGATATTTCAGTTGTTTTTTCAAAAGTTTCATAACACTTTTAGCAATTGAAATATTTGGGTAAGATTCCATATTTGGCCAGACTTTCATTATTATTGAAATTATTTAACATTTTAAGTGCCTTTTTCTTATAGGTGACAGTAACGGAGAAGAGGAAGATGAAGATATCTATTCATCTGAGGCTTCATCAGACTACTCAGGAATTAGTGATTTTGATGATGAAGGCAAGTAAACTGTAAGGTTTTTCTTTCAGTAAAGATAACTTTTATTTGTATAACTGATTTATACAGCTTTTTATTTGTTCCAGGGCATATTGTTTTTCCAAAATATCAAGTGGAATGGTGGTAACCATCATCAATTTTTTTTTTTTAATAATAATGATTATGTGGTGTAGAGAAAAGGATTGTTAACCCACATTTACCTTATACCCATGTTATCTTCAGAGATGCAGTTTTAGAAATACAGTGGACCCTAGAGTTTCATAAGGCTCGTACATCATAAGTTTCGACTTTCGACAACTTTTTTCGTCAAAATATAGCCTCATGGTTCGTAATTTGGCTCGCAATTCATTGCTTGTCCAGAACGTGTTAAGAATGGCCTCCCTGCGTCCACGCCATACAAAGGCACCCCACACACCATTCCCAGTCAATGTGGCTTTGTTTATTGGCGAGTGAACATCACCCCACACATTCATACCATATACTATTTCATAATATATTCCATCCTTTTTTGTGCTTTCAACTTTTAAATAAGCCACCATGGGCCCAAAAAAAGCTCCTAGTGCCAGCCCTTTGGTAAAGAATGTGAGAAACATCGATAGAATTCAAGAAAGAAACCATTGCAAAATACGAAAGTGGTGTGCATGTGGCCCATCTTGCCAGGATGTATGGGAAGCCCCACACAACCATCGCTTCCATTGTGGTGAAGAAAAAGGAAATCAAAGAAGCTGTTGTTGCGAAAGGAGTGGATATGCTTACCAAAGAGAGATCGCAAATACTACTTGAAGATGTTGAGAATTTGTTGTTTGTGTGGATCAACCAAAAATAGTTAGCAGGAGATAGTGTTATGCAGTCGATAATTTGTGGAAAGACAAGGCAGTTGCATGCCGATCTTGTAAAGAAAATGCCTGGAACAAGTGCTGATGTTAGCGAATTTAAGGCCAGCAAAGGCTGGTTTGAGAGATTTAAGAAGTGTAGTGGCATACACAATGTAGTAAGGCATGGCGAGGCTGCAAGTTTTGACAAGTGTGCGGCTGAAAAATTCATGCAGGAATTCAAGGGCTGTGTAGAGGCTGAAGAATTTGTCCCCCAAAAGTGTTCAGTTGTGACGAAACAGGCCTGTTTTGGAAGAAAATGCCAAAGAGGACCTACATCACGCAGGAGGAAATGGCACTGCCAGGACACAAGCCTATGAAAGACAGGCTAACTCTCATGTTCTGTAGTAATGCTAGTGAGGATTTCTAAGTGAAGCCTTTACTGGTGTACCACTCTGAAAATCTCAGAGTGTTCAAGAAACACAGTGTTGCCAAGAGTAAATTGTGTGTGATGTGGAAGGCAAACAGTAAGGCATGGCCTTAGTGTGAAGAAATACCTCCTGGAAAAGAAATTGGAACTCAAGTGCCTCCTGGTAATGGACAAGGCTCCTGCTCATCCTTCAGACTTGGATGACCAAATTGTGCAGGAGTTTGGTTTCATCACAGTGAAGTTCTTGCCCCCAAGTACCACTCTCTCATCCACCAAAGCAATGTTTCGAAGATGTTTTGATGTGACCTCAGACATGAGAATTCTGGAAAGATAACTTCAATATCCTCCATTGCATAGGCCTTATAGATAAGGCATGGGAGGGAGTGACTTCCATGAGTTTGAACTCTGCTTGGAGAAAATTGTGGCCAGATTGTGTCCTCTACAAAGATTTTGAAGGGTTTGAGGCTGACCCTGACAACCCTATGCCAGTTGTGGAATCTATTGGGGAATTCCATGGGGTTGGATGTGAGTGGCCAGGATGTGGAAGAGTTGGTGGAGGACCACAGTGAAGAGCTTCATCTGCAACAGCAACAGACCACAGCTCAAGAAATTGCTTCAGAGGAGGAGGAATAGAGATGGAAGAAGGTGCCTTGAAAGTTTAAGGACATTTGTGCAAAGTGGAGTGAGGTGCAAACGTTTATGGAGGAACATCACCCTGACAAAGCTGTTGCAACCGTGTTGGCATCATGTACAATGACAGTGTCTTATCCCATTTGAGGCAAATTTTAAAGAGATGCCAGAAACAGAGCTATCTGGAATAATTGTTTGAGTGACAGGGGTCCAGTGACTCAAGCTTGTCCTAGTGGCATAAAAAAACAAAGAAAGGAAGTAACCCTGGATAAGGACTTGGTACCTAAAGTCTTTATGGAAGGGGATTCCCCTTCCAAACAATAATATAACTTCTCCATCCTCTCCCCTCCTTTTGTCTTCCATACACCAACAAGAGTCTTCAATAATGGTAAGTATGATGTTATTTTTGTTTTATAATTGATGTCTCATTGTTTTCTGTGTGTAAATCTGTGTTTAATGTAAAAAAAAAAATTTGTTAATACTTTTGGGCGTCTGGAACGGATTAATTGGATTTACATTATTTCTTATGGGGAAAATGGTTTCACCATTCGTAAATTTCAACTTTCGTCACACTCTCTGGAACAGATTAATTATGAAATTTGAGGATCCACTGTATATCCAATATCAGTATACTCTTCTTAATAATCCAAATTTTTGTGGAAGTATTAGATTGGCACCAATGACCTGTTACATGGAAAGAACCTGGTTCAATAAATAGTGTATAAATACAATTAGCACTACTCACCAGAGATAGTTGATTGCTTGAGGATTGACAGACTGTTGTTACTAGAGCATATTGGGAAAGGGAAGGTAAAGTATACAGACTGTTAAACCACGAACAAAAAGCCAAAATTGCTTTCTTTATGGTTAGTGTATTTAGTCTGTCGCACACCTTGTACCATCCTAGTGATGTGAGCCTGGCTGCCATGTATGTCAGTCTGTTTGCCATGGGAACAGTAAGCCCCTTTTGTCAGAAAAGATCACTAAGCATAACGACAGATGGTCACTGAGCAAAAATGCTCTCTGATGTATCTAAAGGTATAAAGTGGAGCTGACTAGTATGTTGCACTTTTTTTTTTTTTTTTTTTTTTTTTTTTTTTTTTTGTGTGTGTGGTGTGTGTGTGTGTGTGTGTGTGTGTGTGTTGTGTGTGTGTGTGTGTGTGTGTGTGTGTGTGTGTGTGTGTGTGTGTGTGTGCATGTTTGACTCTTCTGTAACTGAATTTGATAATACTTAAGGGTTTAATATTGCAGGTATGTAGTATTAATATCCATTTTTTCCTTTATAGATAATTGGGGTCGGCCAAAAAAGCGTGGAAAAGCTAAAAACCATAAACAGAAGAATGGAAAAGGCAGAGCTGAAAATGGGGATAGGCCCCCTCCACCACCTAAAGATCATGTGGAAAAGGCGAATAAGTTAAAATCAGAACTCTTAAGAGGAATTGAAAACTTAGGGAGAAAACTTCCCCCTAATACTTTAGATCAGTTAATTGATGAGTTGGGAGGGCCAGAAAATGTTGCAGAAATGACAGGCCGCAAAGGCCGAGTGGTACAAAGTGATGATGGTCAAGTTATGTATGAGTCTCGTTCTGAGGCTGATGTTCCTCTTGAGATACTGAACATAAGAGGTTTGTTCATTTTTTATGGTTTGATTACATGATAATCTTCTCCTAGCCATTGACTTAGCTAAAATTCTTTATAATGTGTTGACCAAAAATATTATGTAATATGGGCTTTGCAAAAGATTTAACGTATTTTTCTTTTTTTTTGTATTACATTTTTTTTAACATGGCTGTTTCTCACTGAGGCAAAGTGACCCAAAAAGAAAGAAGAAAAACTTCTATCATTGTTCCACACTTTCACTGTCATTCATTCATAATCACTGTCTTTGCAGAGGTGCTCAGATACTGCAGTTTAGATGTCATTAAAACAGCCAATATCCCAAACTCCTCATTTAAAGTGCAGGCATTGTGTTTCACACCTCCAGGACTCAAGTCCAGCTAACTGGGCTCCCTTAATCCCTTCACAAAACATTACCCTGCTCACACTCCAACAGTTAGTCAGGTCCCAAAAACCATTATTCTCTATTCACTCCTATCTGACATACTCACACATGCTTGCTGGAAAAGACCCCTATCCCTTCCCTCCATTACAGATTTATACACCCTTCAATTCATCCTATTTTGCTTCATCATCTCTAAATAGCCAAACCACTTAACAACCCCTCTTCAGCCCTCTTACTAATACTTTTAGTAACTCTACACCTCCCTCTAATTTCCACACTCTGAATTCTCTGCATAATATTTGCGCCACACATTGCTCTTAGACACGATATCTCCACTGCCTCCAGCCTCCTCCTCGCTGCAGCATTTGCATCCCATGCTTCACAACCATATAAGAATGTTAGTACCACTATACTTTCATATATTCCCTTATTTTCCTCCGTGAATAACATTCTTTGCCTCCACAGATACCTCAATGCATCACCCACCCTTTTTCCTTCATCAGTTCTGTAATTTACTTCATCCTTCATAAATCCATCAGCTGACAAATCTACTACCAAATATCTGAACATACTCACTATAGGAGGGTGGGTGCAGGTGGAAAGAGGAGTGATTGGTGGAATGATGAGGTAAAGGGTGCAATAAAAGAGAATAAGGTAGCTTATGAGTTTTTTTTTTTTTTTACAAAGCAGAAGTGATATAAGAAGGGCAGAGTATATGGAGAGTAAAAGAAAGGTGAGAAGAGTGATGAGAGAGTGCAAAAGGAGAGCAAATGATAGAGTGCGTGAGGCACTGTCAAGAAATTTTGCTGAGAATAAGAAAAAAATTTGGAGTGAGATAAGCAAGTTAAGAAAGCCTAGGGAACGAATGGATTTGTTAGTTAAAAACAGAGTAGGGGAATTAGTAGATGGGGAGCTGGAGGTATTGGGTAGATGCGGGAATATTTTGAGGAACTTCTCATCGTCGATGAAGAAAGGGAGAGAGTAATTTCATGCACTGGCCAGGGAGGCATAGCATCTTTTAGGAGTGAAGAAGAGTAGGATGTGAGTGTGGGGGAGGTGCGTGAGAATGGAAGGGGGGATAAAGCCGCTGGAACTGATGGGATCATGACAAAAATGTTAAAAGCAGGGGAGGGATATAGTGTTGGAGTGGTTGGCATTTTTGTTTAATGTATGAAAAAGGGAGAGGTACCTTGGGATTGGCAGAGAACATGTATAGTTCTTTTATATAAAGGGAAGAGGAACAAAAGAGATAGTAAAAATTATAGGGGAGGAAGTTTACTTTCGTATTTGAGCGCCTCTGCAAAGATTATGTATGAGTGATGGTGAAAGTGTTGAATGAGGATGAAAGTTTTTTGGGTGTCTCTGCTTGATGGGAAGTGGCTGATGTGTTAAAAAAAAAAAAAAGTTTACCGAGTATACCAGGTAAAGTGTATAGTAGGGTTATTATTGAAAGAATTAGATGCAAGACAGAGAGCAGAATTGCAGATGAGCAAGAAGGCTTTAGAATGGGTAGGGGATATGTAGATCAAGTGTTTACATTGAAGCATTTTTTTTTTTTCCACATTCCCTCCCTCCAATGTAATATCCAATTTTTCTTTTACTTTCAACTTTCTTCCTTTTTACACCCTCCCAAACTCATCCACTAACCTTTGCAACTTCTCTTTAGAATCTTCCAGTAGCACAGTATCATCAGCAAAAAAGTAAATGTTGTCAACCCCCATTTTGTATTTGACTCCCCATGATTTAATCCAACTTTCTCTCCCCAAAACTCTAGCATTTACTTCTTTTACAACCTCATCGATAAATGTGTTAAACCACCGTGGTGACATTATACCTCCCTGTCTAAGGCCTACTTTTATTGGGAGGTAATCTTCCTCTCTCCTTCACACCCTAATATGAACCTCAATATCCTCATATAAACTCTTTACAGCATTTAGTAACTTATTAACTATTCCAAACACTGTCAACATCTGCCACATTACTTCCCTATCCATCCTATCATATGCCTTTTTTAAATCCATAAATGCAGTGAAAAGTTCCCTACCTTTATCTAAATATTGTTTACTTATGTGCTTCAGTGCAAACACGTAGTCAACACATCCCCTACCTATTCTCAAGCTGCCTTGTTCATCTGTGATTCTGCTCTCTGTCTTGGCTCTAATTCTTTCAACAATATCTCTTGCTATTTTTACTCTCGTGTCCCCTACCCTTTTATATAAAGGAACTATACAGTGCTCTCTGCCAATCCCTAGGTACCTTCCCCTCTTTCGTACTTTTATTGAACAAAAGGACCAACTACTCCAAAACTATATCCCACCAGCTTTTAACACTTCTGTCATGATCCCATCAATTCCAGCCACTTCACCCATTTTAATTCTACTCAGTGCCTTGCACCTCCCCCCGCACTCAGATCCAGCTCCTCTTCACTCCTAAAAGATGTTATACCTCCCTGGCCAGTGCATGAAAATACTGCCTCCTTCTCTTCATCAACACTTAACAGTTCCTCAAAATATTTCCACCGTCTTCCCATTACCTCCAACTCCCCATCTACTAACTCCCCTATTCTGTTTTTAACTTGTCAAACCCATTCATTCCCTAGGCTTTCTTAACTGATTTCTCTCTCTCCCAAATTTTTTCTTATTCTCAGCAAAATTCGTTGACAGCACCTCACTAACTCTATCATTTGCTTTCCTTTTGCACTCCTTCACGCCTCTTTTTTACTTTCCATATACTCCATGCTTCTTATTTCACTTCTGCTTTGTGAAAACCTCTCATAAGTGACCTTTTTCATCACACCTTTTATCACATCATTCCACCAATCACTTTTCTTTCCTTCTTCACCCACCCTCCTATAGCCACAAACTTCTTCCTTGCATTTTTTAAACTATCCCACCCCTCTTCAACCCCTGCACTATGTATAATCTCACTATCCCACCTTTCTCCCAATAGTTGCTTATACAGTAGGACCCCACTTTACGGAGTTCCGTATGCATTTATAACAGGAAAAAATGGTGTTCTGCTTTCTGGCGATGTCCGCTTTCCAGCAGTAGCCTAGAACCTAACTTGCCATATAAGTGGGACCGTACTGTATCTCATCTGAACTTCCTCCTCCCTTAGTTTATATACTTTCACCTCTCTCTTACTTGTTGTTGCCATTTTCCTTTTGCCCCCATTGTTCTATCTAAAAAGAATGAGCTTTCCAAAAAAATATAAACGAATATTCTTTGTAAGTAACTACAGTAAAAGAGTGATAGTCCTTTTTATAGGAGAAATGAATGCCTATGCATGCAGGCATGGAAATATTATGTACAGTACCTCAGCATTATTTGTTTATGTAGGTAGAAGTTAAGTTTCATTGTTATCCATAGATGATCTACTGTTGAAGAAATAGTGGTGTATTTTACTGCCTTTTCTCCACCTATATTATTTTTCATTTTAAATATTCCCTAAGGGCAGATTCTTTTCTGTTGAAGAGGGTGTGGGGAAAATTAGGGTCTTCGTGGATGTCTTCAGTCATTAGCCAGGGCATCTCATGCCAGAGGGTTGTAATGTCTGGGTGGAAGTGATTGAGGGGGCTTGCTAGGAGCTGCACTTTTTTTTATACTGTATAATCTTTATTATGTCCAGTTAGGCCTAATAGGACCTTATCAGTCCTCTCCACACATTTCCATATCAGCATGCAGCAGTAACCCTTTCAGGGTTGGTGCCGTACTAGTACGGCTTGCACGCCAGGGTTCGTGTTGTACTAGTACGCATAAATTCTAGCACCTTCAAATCTAGCGAGAGAAAGCTGGTAGGCCTATATATGAAAGAATGGGTCTATGTGGTCAGTGTGCATGGTATAAAAAAATCCTGCAGCACACAGTGCATAATGAGAAAAAAAAACTCCGACCTTGTTTTTGGTTTAAAACAGTGAATTTGCAGTGTATTTTCATATGCTATTTATGGTGTTATTCTAGTTTCCCTGGTCTCATTTTATAGGATGGAAGACATATTATGTAAATTGAGATGATTTTGATTGGTTTCACAATGAAAAGCACCTTGAAATTGAGCTCAAAGTATCAGAAATGTTCGATTTTTGCCAAAGTTCAAAGGTAAACAAATCATGCCACGCGTCCAATACACGTCAACTGGTGAGTGCAGTATTCTTTCACAAGTGCCCTGATATTATTTATACCATTTCTATGTCATTTCTACACGAATATAGTAGTCTGCATAACATAAATCTTCTATTTTTTGTGAGAATAAAAATTCATATCCTCTGTTCATTACTCATATCCCCAGAGGCCTGGGGATATGAGTAATGAACAGAGGAAATGTTGTTTTAGTGCCAGAAATGTCTGTCTTGTTTATTCTGGACCCTATTTGGAAATTGACATCTTTTGATATTTGTGTGAAATTGGCAAAATTGCCAATTTCTGACCACGTTATTGGATAGTGGAAATCGGTAAATGGGTGGTTTCTTGTACTCATTCGATAGAAAATATGGAGTTCTAGCGAAATAGGTATGATTTTTGTCGACTGGTACATTGGAATTGGTCAAAAACAGGGCTCAAAGTGGGCGAAATCACCGATGCGTAAACATCATCGAGACCGCTAACTTCGTGATAGCATAACTCCGTA